AGATTTTTTGTGCGTGTGTGATGAAGAGCTGGTCTGTTTTTGGAGAATTTAAGTTATTTGACTTTCTGTAGACACGGATTCCTACTATGTTCCAAATGGCCAACGTTTGTCATGGAATGAACTGGGATGAAATGATCGCACACAACTCCAAACCCTGCATGAGCTGATAGATTTCCACTTGTCTGGACGTGGGAAACATATTGAGATGGTGTCGTGCGGGGAGGCGTGCAGGTTTGTCACTGCCAGTGGATGCAGCCACGGCCTTGTATTTACAGGATTTGAATTGGATTTGTGATGGAAGGTTGTTGGCTCCAATCCCACCCAAAAACTCTCAACATTCTCTGTTTCAGGTATTGATTTTGTTGTGTTTCCAGTCACCCACACACAGGCCCTGATAGTGCATGTTTTTGAGCTTTTTTGTCTGTTGAGGGAGTGGGGGGGGCAGTGGTAGGATTTAGATAACACCAAATACTCAGTAGATTGTTGGGTTAATTTGAGCTAAAATGCCAGTACCATATTAATCAGCCAAGTAAATAATTAACTTGTAGAACGATGTCATTGAGCTTCACTCTCTGTTTTAATGGCTCTCAAATCTCCAACACGGCCGCTCTCTAATACTTCAAACGTTGGGCCTCCGACAGGCGGTGAGTTGTCAGAGAGCGGCTCTAATACAGAACGACTGGCCTGCAGGAGCCGCCATCATCAATAAATCCTTTATAACCCCCCACCTTTTTTTTTTTTTCATCTGACCCGCTGGTTTTGAGAACGGAGGCTCCTTGATGTGACTCCTTCTAATGTCATGACCTGCAGGTGCTGAGGATGATCCTGTAGATCAGGTTACACTTTCACTCACACAGTAATGGATACACAAAGTGTTTCTGCTCTTGGGTTATAAAGAAGTCAGACTCCGTTTTATTTGTTTGGTTTTTTTTTTTTTTTACATTAGCATTCTGCTCTTTTATTTAACCCAAGAGCAAAGCAGTGAAAAATTAAACATGCTTAAGAAAATTGCATTGGGTCAAAGTTATGATGAGATTTTCTGAAATTCTGCTGCGATGATGGTGTATTCTAAAAGTCACTGAAAACCCATTCCCTCAGCAGAGCACTTACTGTGATTGGAGACGCTCTAGTTTATTGAGAACCCACTATTTTCTCCTTCCTATAAGATAAATTCCATCATTTTTCTCTGTTAAAGAAGTGAATCACTTTTGATTGTTGTTTTGGGTTTCTTTTCTCATTTCCATCATTTGTTTCCATTTTTCTGACCTCATGCCCAGCCTTTTTCGTTACTATCCCGTTGCGGTTAAAACAGCACAGATACGACTTCGGTATTGGGCTTCTCATGTGACCTCACAAAACGAAAGACTCCCGCGGGGGCACGTCTTTCCTGCAGTCTTCGAGAAATGTATTTCTCTCGTCCTCGCCGTCACTTTTAGGAGTTTTTAAGTCCCACTCTGCTCTGCTTGTATAAAGTTGTGGACTCTTCACCAGGGAACACTCCTGTTTATAATCCGGGTTAAATGAACTGGGTTTTTTGTTTTTTTTTTACAGCAGCTCCAGTTTTGCTGCATCTGTTTGTGTAAGAAAACCATATTTACTCCACAGCAGCTCCAGTTTTGCTGCCTTTTTTGTTTTTTGTAAGAAAACCATATTTACTCCGGTTTGTTCCTCGTGTCGTCCAGTTTTCTGCCTGTAAAGCGGTCTGTAATAGTTTTTATTGGTTTCCACTGTACGTTTAGACTCGTGTTTTACGGCTCAGCAGATTGTTTAGGTTGAGCCTAGTATAACTCGACTCGACTTGACTTTTTTATATATATGTACTCTAAACTCTAAATTCATTCATGTAATCCTAGTCTGGAGTTGTGTGGTGAACTGGAGCCAAATCCCAGGAGTCATCAGAGGTGGGTGGGGTTAAAACCTGGGCATGTAGAGACAAACAACCAATCACATTCAGAGCTTTGGTATAAAGCTATATAAAGTGAACAGTTGACCTAATCAGAAGTCCTGATCATCAACTGGTGGCCTGTGGACCAGATTCGGACTGCTGAACTGTCCACTTCGGCCCACGTCTGGAGTACAAAATAGTGATGATCATGCAGATTCGGACTGCTGAACTGTCCACTTTGGCCCCCCAAAATTGTGATGATCATGTGATCCCCGCTTCTAAAAAAAACCACAACTGCAACTTAAATAAGTGTCAGTTACTTCCACCATTTATGGCTTTCATTTTATTTAATTTTTTGTTCTTTTCTGCTTTGATTCATTTACTTCTAAAAGTCAGCTGATCGTTCAGTCAGTCAGAGAGAGGTGTCCACAGAGGCTGAGAGCTGAGACCAGCTTTGAGAAAAGGACCATTGTGTCAACACTTTTGCTTTTATTGGTCCTCAGAGAGGTAAAGGCCCAGGTTCCAGCTCGACATGTTATTGATGAATGGGTCTGTAGCATTCGGGTGGAGAGGCTGCATAAAGACCGAGGTGGAGCAAAGTGACTTTTTCGGGATCCGTAACAAAGCCATAGTAAGTAATCTTGAGTCCACAGGGGTTATGTAGTCTGAAACCCAATCCTCTGTTAAGCTCACAGATGTCTGCTCCTCGTGCTGGCCTCAGACCAGCGCTGGGCCAGGAGAAGGGACCAGTGAATTCCACCTCCTACTCAAATGTCCACACGACACGCTCTGAATTTAGCAGCACTTTAGAGCTGCATATGATCTGATGCTCAGTCACGGTCACTTCACTCGGTCGGTTTGGTCTTTTCCTTTTCAACGTCAGAGTCAAGCCACTAAGTCACCGCTGGGTTCGTTTGAAGGCAGATGTTTACAGCATTAGTGGCTGTTTTTATTTTAATGTTCTGCAATATAAATATATTAAAACCACACTACTGAAATACATTTTGATATATTAGGGTTGATTCTGTTTTTCCTTAGACTAAAGCTAAGTATAAATTTAGACTCTGTTTAGTCACAGAATTAATAAGTAAATTAACTAGCATCCATGTTAGCCTTCTCATTTATTGATTGCATTTTCTTCAGTAATCACGTGACAGCAACTGAAACTTGTGATGTCAAAACGGAGTCGCGAGCCAAAAAAGGTTGGGAACCACTGATCTGAAGTATTTTTCTCAAGAGTAGATGCTTAGATGTTGGTGAAAAGGACGAACGGCCAAGTCCAGAAAATGTCTCCAGTGACTATTTGACTTTTTGACAGATTCAATCTGACAGATAATACACTTGTATTTTCATCTCTAACAGAAGTGTAAAAAAATCCAAATACCATTTTACGTAACAATGTAAGTGGCGATGATGATAATAGAGAAGAAACTCTTTTTTAATTATGTGTCATGAAAGAGTTGAGACATTTGGACTTTGGTGGTTAAAGTGCTCAGAGTTGTTTAAGTATTATTTGGTGCTGACGTTTCCACTAATGTCTGCGAGTGCTTAAACCTACAGTGAAAAAGTTGGCCAATTAAGAACATTAGACCTCCAAACACCCTTCAGTGCAGCAGCAGACTTAATGAGACATTAATGGAGACGTCTTCTTACCCACTGAAGAGAGGAGGAAGGAAAAAGATCTATTTTGTTTTTAATGAGCTGGGGTTTGTCGCTGCCTCTGTAGCTCAGGCGAATCAGTGAAAGCACCTTCTATGGAGGTGGCAGCCTCGGAGCAGCACAGTGCCCAGAAGAGTGAGGCATTTGGTCTGTTAATGTTTGAATTCCTGACACGCCAGGTCACGGCACGCTCTCTAATCCAGCTTTTATAAATCACAGGTGCACAATGGTCCGCTACGTGGATTAAATGATCATTAAAAACAAATAACATCGGCTGTTTTTACAAGACGTTGTTTCCGGAAAGCTCCGGGCGCCTGTTTTAGTGCAAACTCTGTTTCTATAGGGAGATTTAACAAAGGACTTTCCAGTGCTTTTATTGGGGATTACCTCAATTAAAATTACAGCTCTACTTGATCTTCGCCTGCTGGGAGTTTTATCCTCTCTGCAGACAGCCTGCTTTTTATAGCCTAAAACAAGAGAGCGTGTTTCAACAAGTGCGAGAATCTTTGTAATAAGACGCAGGGCATGTCGTGTCACCGGCAGCGTCGACGGCGAGGGTCAGAGAAGTGCATGACAGGCGTTTGAACATCTTGACTCCTGCTGCAGCCTCTGCTCTATTTAAAACTCCCAAGTTTACTGAGTAATCTTACATACAGTGTGTATATATGTATATATACATATATACATACATATATACAGACAGATATGTACATGCATATATACATACATATATACAGACAGATATGTACATGCATATATACATACATATATACATTCATATATATACATATATACGTATATACATACATATACAGACATATAAATGTATAAACATACATTGTACATACATAAATATATTTATGTATGTACAATGTATGTTTATACATTTATATGTCTGTATATGTATGTATATACGTATATATGTATATATATGTATGTATATACTGTATGTATTTCTATATTCAGTATCAAATACATGTTTATACATAAATATATTTATGTATGTACAATGTATGTGTATACATTTATATGTCTGTATATGTGTATATTTGTCAATATCTGTAGTCCTGACAAATACACTGTCTTTACTTGTGGCAGGTATTTCAGGTATCTCCTATAAACATATATGGAAGTTTCTAGTTTCTATCCCAAAGAAATCTGACAAATTCTGTGCTCCTTATTTTGTCAGAAATATTTTTAAAAACACAGTGACTTGACTTGTAATTCCGTGTTGAGGTGTGTACGGATACAGACATCGTTGTTCTTTTATAAAACCCATCTCTTTTGTGTCTAGTCGGAAAAAAAACAGCAATGAATTTTCCTGAAACATCAGTGAGTTGCTTTAAGACCTGGAGATACAAGTGGCAACAAAGATCATTTTGTTTTTAGCTAATCCTTCCGGTTACAGCTGCAGTTCAACTCTTCCCCTGATCATTTTTGTTGTTTCCTTCCACAGCGCAACCAGAGGGCACAAAGGACGGACCCACCTGTATGGACAAGAACCACGGCTGTGCACACATCTGCAGGGAGACGCAGAAGGGTGGCATCTCCTGCGAGTGTCGACCTGGGTTCCAGCTGACGCGTAACATGAAGGACTGCAAATGTGAGTCAGTCCATCACCTTGCAGGAGGCACACACGCAGTAGGAGGTTTTGGATTTATAGGCTCCTTGTGTAGAGGTGACTGGTGTTGGAAACCTGCCGATGTTGGATATACAGCCGTTCCTTAAATGCCTCTTTGACATCAAGTTAGTGACATTAATGTTTCATCACTGAGCCGTGACTTGTCACTAAAACGAGGAGAAGAAAAAAAAAATGTTCATGAAAATAAAAAGTGATCGTTTACTCAAATAGGGCAAATGTGGAGGTTAGTGGAAGGGGACTGCTCTGATGGACAGGGCACACTTCCTGTTGCTGTGCAACAGAGATCATCCTGTCAGGGCCCGGGGCCAGGGCTGATGGGGGATTTGTCTGTGTTTGGATAAGGATTGGAGAAGTGTTATTCTATAGTTTTCTGTGACAGCCCCGGAAAAGGGCAAAAGGCGCTGGGATGCTCGGGTGCAGACAGGGCGGCGTGGAAGGCTCATTCTGTGCTTGCTCTTTTTCACTCTGTCATCACAGGTGTGTTTAAAGTGCCAAGGTTAATGCCTCGCTCACCAGTCAGCATATAAATGTATTTGCACTCACCGGGTTGGTAAAGAAACCTGCTTGGACACAGGGATGGCGGTCGTCAGGGTGACCAACAATGACTAAGTAGGTTTATCCTTTAACCCAGGCCTGAACGTCACCTGAAACTGTGACCAATCACGGTACAGGTGGGCCGGTATCAGCCATTAGTGTGGACCGGTAATACCGCACCATCGTAAGTAATTGAAGTAATAACAAAGATACTGTAATTTGGAGTCTGTACTGATACCAATATCAATCCGATACCTTGTTTTCTGCTCTAGCGTGTCGTGGGCTGCGGTTGCTTTTGCGATAGTGTCCCTGTTTACGGCAGATTGCGTAAAGTCAAATTGAGCATTTGGGCTTAGATATCAGATCAGACGGGCTGTAGTTGTTTTCTATCAATGTCCGATTGTGAAATTTTAACCAATGTCAGACCGATACTGATCCAGAGTATCGGATCAACACACAATGTACACAAGTATAACAGCTGTACTTCACTGAGAAGTAACTCACCTAATCCTGATGGGAATCAGATTTCCTGTGTACCAGGTTCCACCAGGGGGTTACACATCGTAGTTTGAGAACCATCAACTTAGAAATGATGGCCCACAACAACCTTGATGCTCCCCCTCATTCTCCGACTGTTGTTTCTGCTTCCTTTGATAGTGACCTGTAACTATGGCAATGGAGGCTGCCAACACATCTGTGAGGAAACAGACCACGGCCCCAAGTGTTCGTGCCACATGAAGTTCGTCCTCCACAGCGATGGAAAGACTTGTGTAGGTGAGTCATCTCACACGCACACAACTGCCACGGGGGCAAGAAATAAAACAGCTCCCAAATGAGACAGCGCAGGAGCGCACGTGTGATTAGCCGAGAATCCCATTTCCAACACAAAGTTTAATTAACATCTGAAATGAGGTTTGTAGTGAATCCAGTTGAAATACAGGCCCTGCTCAGGTTTTTTTTTTCTTTCCATCACCTGTGTGACATACAAGGACAAAGGCTACCACCCCCCCGCTCCCCCTCCCCTGCTGCCGCTGCTCCAGCTACCTCTGTGCCTGCTTCTGGTTTGGTGTTTCTTCCTCCTCCTCCTCTTCCTCCTCCTTCTTTCTAAACTGCTTCACTTTTTTCTCTCCCTCTCAGCCATGTGGTCAGATGCAAACCTTCTGTTAGCCTGCGGTCAGTTTCTCTACTGCTGCCTCTTAAGGATTAACTTACACACCTGACTTAACCCTGCGCTGCCCTTCATCAGCGTTTGCCTCAGCCGACCCGGGCGGCGTTGAGCTGCTCTGAAGGCCGTTTTACACCAGATGATAGCCGCAGGTGCACAGTGGTGATGGCACAGACCTCTGGTAGTGTGAGTGGATTGTGCTCAGCCATCATGGAGTACAGGGTGTTTTCTGTAGCTGCCGTTCACAGCGCCCTCCCGTTCAAGCCTATTCTTCGGGTACTTTGCAGCGTTAATAACAAGCGTGGATGTAAGACGTAATTTCATTGACAGCTGGGAAAACATAGCAGTGGAATTAGGAATTAGAGCAGAGTGGAGAGGCGGCCGCTCGGTTTCTGTGGCTGTTAACTTTTAGGGTTTGATTGGGGTAGTGGCTGATAAGCTTGGTGTTTCCTCTGCCACAGCCATGATGAGAGCCAGACCAATGTCAAGGTCTGGTCAGCCAACCTGTCATTATTGCTGTACCCATGCTTGGCGACAGGGAGCCACAAACCCGACCGCGACCAAATTATACGTCTTAGCCTGTGTTATTTTCAAGGCAGAGCAAAAGCACGTTCGGTGTGCCAGACTCAGACGCAGTCAGCCAATAAAAATGTCTTTTTTTTTTTTCCCCCGACAGAGTCTGGGGATACTGAGATGGAGGGCGGCCCGCTCTGTGGTCCACACAGGAGCGATCCATCTCTCAGGCTCTCTCTTAGTTAATAAAACCCAAATAAAATAAAGTGCCGACGAAATGAACCATTGATGGTAGAGAGAGTGACTATAAGAGCGGACCGCCATAAATACTGAGCATGTAGTCTTTAAAACCTAATTTCCAATGGTAGAAAAAACATAATTAACATGGACAGTAAGGGATTTGCTTTTGTGAGCAGTGGGAATACGTTTAATCAGCTTTTACACTCTGGGACGGTGTCTGTGTTTGAGAGGTTCAGATCTGATTATTCTCCGCGGCCCCAGGACCTGAGTTAACACCATGGCTTCACTGCTTTATCATTAAGATACAACACTGGCAACAACGTGTTATTATGCTGCCATTTATGGTCCGTACCAGCAGTTTCTCCTCCGCAACACATTCTGAGCCCGTTCTTCAAAACTGTTTCTCCTGTGAATCATTTTTGTCGTTCAACAAAAAGAAAAGAAGAAAAAAAAACAAATCAGTGCATTTTCCACACTATGGGAAGAATAAAGAAAATATTGAAATTTAAATTCATTACATAGGCGGCAACCCCCCAGCAATAACTCCCTGCCCCCTGGTGGGCCCAGCCCCTACTTTGGGAACCACTTTCTGTAAAAACAAATATACATAGTTGAGAGCGTCTGCTGCTGTGTTATCTTCTTTTATTAAGTCAGGTCGAGAAAAGTCGTTTTTATTTTTTTTTATTGCCCAACTTTTACAAATACATTTTGACTCGACAGACAGAAAAATACATCACTCCCCTAACGTTTAACCCTTACGCCGATGATGATCAACTGGCAGCTCGTGGGCCAAATCCGGCCGCCTGAACCATCCAATATGGCCCACAACTTGATTCCAAAATACACATCAAATTTAGATCCAATTTAGTTAGACAAAGGTGTGATTTTCTTTTTAAATGTATTTTTATTCAGGGGTCCGACCCCCGAGCTGTCTGTCCAGAAAAGTTCTGGCCCTCTGATAAATATAGTTCTGAAGGTTTTAAACACTGCATTGTCTCTACTACATTTCTATCGTGTGGCTGATGAACAGATGTTGTTCAGTCAAACCTAGTTATTCATGCAGAGCAGATCAAGTCTAAGTCCACGGCTCCTCTGATGGTCACAGCATTTTTTGTAAACAGCGTTAGAGGTGGAGAACGTGTGACTTTTTTCATCCAAAACAAATCATCGGCAGCTCTTTTAAAATATCTTGTTTTACTGTAATGTTTCACCTTGGCGTGCCAGATTTGAACTAATTTTAATAGTTACGAAAAAGGTAAACTGCAAACCCTTTGATTAAGATCTAATTTTTATTTTTCCAATACAAAAAGTCTTCGCTGTGGAGCTGTAGTTATATATTCCGATCCTGTGCTCGGTTTCCATTGGTCTAAATGTCACAGGCATGATGAGAATGGCAGATTGAGGTTGTTATATTTTTCACGTGTAGTGTTAATTACCCTTTAGCTACAGCATTCGGAAATAGAGCTAAAAAAAAACGGGTATCTATAGCAACCAGACAAAGTGTAAATACCTGATGCACACCTCTCCTTAAAGGAACAGTGTTGGTTTGTCCTGGCTCTGTCTTCACGTCCGCTGCACTCCCGCTCACTGGTTCGTCTTATGGACGGTGTCTGTGGAACTCTGTGTCGTTGTCATTCGTTTTGTGGCGTTTTCTTTCGCTGCCGCTCATTCCTGCCTGCTGTAATAACTAGACCGTGTGCTGCTGGGGTTGGAGGTGTTGCTTCTTCAGCCTTTCTACTCCACCTGTGCAAAATGTGGCTGTGAGTTTTAATGAGACAAAGCAGCTGCGGATGGCACACGTGGACACTGTGTACACACACACACACACATTTGACTGAATTGACCCAAAACTTTTAAGGCTGCAATTCATCGTAAAAATCTGGTTTGCACAGAATGACTGTGTGTTGGGAAAGTTCAAATATCAGGAAAGAGCAGCCATCATGTGAAAGCATTCATGCTGTTAGCACTGCAAATCATAAACATCCACAAATAGCAGGCAGATGCAGGCCTGCTCAGGAGTTTAATCATCTGAAGAGTGGGCTGCACGCACACACACACACACACACACGCACGAACGAACGAACACACACATGCTCAAAGAGCAAAGGATGCATTTTATAACACAAACAAAAAAACTATGCAAACAACCACACAAACGTACAATACATATTCAGCATGAGTGAATCATATGCCTGTAAACACGTGTAGTCCTCGTGCATATGCCCGTAACGTAAACACGCCGCTCTCATTTCGGGTGGTCCGTGCCTTCACCTCCGTGTATTCAGGGCGCAGGGTATTTGGTATCGCACTCTTTCCTCTACAAGTGCTGTGAGTCATCACTTTTTTATGTGAGGTGCATGTCAGAGCTGGGAGGTGTGTTTGTGAGAACGTGAGTGTAAACTGTGCACGCTTCAGTGTGGGACCTGTCGCTGTCCACACACTAACAGTCTACAGTCGGTTACTGTCCATCAGGCAGTTCATATTTAGGAAGATTTTTACAGTACTGTGTGTGTGTGAATATATACAGTATATATAAAAATATATTTATATAAATATGTGTTTATGTGTGTATGTATATAAGTACATAGATACATAAAACACATGTATTTATATATTAATATATATATACATACTGTATATAAATATATGGTATATATACATATATACAAGTATATGTGTGTATTTATATATGTATATATATACATACACACAAATACATTTATTTATATATAAATATATATTTATATATCAATATATGTGTGTGTATATGTGTATATATAGACATAATATAAATATATACGTGTGTATATATGTCTATATATGTCTATATATATACACATATGTGTATATATATAGACATACTGTATATATGTGTGTGTGAAATACATAAGTAATTTTAATTAAACATAATTATCCAACAACTGTTACTAGAGGGACATTTTAGAATACAAATATAGAATACAACAATGAAGAAATTTGAGTAATAAAATTTGTTACAAGGCTAACTTAAAAATACTACAGTAGTAGAAGTAGTTGTAGTACAGCAGGAAATGTTTAAAGCTACATCGTAGCAGGCTAATATGATTAAAATGGGATCATGAGAGGTACCCTACAGTGATGTTGGGAGAACTGTGCTGCTGCTGCCTCTGCCTTCAGTCTACAACACTAACCAGCACTAACCAGCACTAACACTGTCCAAGCTGGCTGTGATGTTAACCCGATCTTAACCCGGAACAAGCATCCCCTCTCACCTACCCTACATCAGTTAAACCTCTTTTCCTAATAGTTCTTTGCATGGCTGCAGGCTAAGGTAACACATTATCCTTGAAATGTCACCGTTTTCATTTCAGACCAGGGCCTGTAATCTTGTTTTTTTCATAGCTGGTGAAAGTAATCTCTTATTTTAATTCAGTATTATCAACAAAACCATAAGGTCAGTCTCCCATGTCGTGATCCTGACCAATGGGCTTCCACTTTACTCTGATGTGTTTGATATTGTTGTTACAGATTTTAAATTGAAAACACATTCAGTTTCCCTTTAATTCCATGACTGAACTGGTGTTTTTGGTGGGAGTTACAGATGTTTGAAATAAAATGTAACACAATTCCTTCTTACAAATCATTTTAAGGAGGCAAAAGGTTGCACTGCAGTTAACCTCCTGCAGGGTTTGTGGAAATCAGTTCTGTGGAGCAGCTGTCTCCACCTCTTACTGGATATCGTCGTGGCCACAAATGTATCTGGACATCATACAGAGTGAGGTTAAAGGTCACAAGTCACAAATAAGACTCCGTCCATGAGCCATCCTAGATGTGATTAGTCGACAACGTCTGAACTGTAAAAATGAAGCAAATTGTGACAATTCTACAATTAATAAGCTGAAATTAAAATTTTTACACAATTCTACACAATAGATCAGGCAGGAGCAAACTATGGCCCAGGGGCCAGATGCGGCCCGTTTGGTATTTTAATCCGGCTCGCCCAACTTGTCCAAATTATATTATTAATTTATATCATCATTATACTTCTGCCTTTTCCAATGTAATGTCCACATTCCCCCAATAGATGGCATAGAAAAGGCTAAAAGGTTTTTAGCCTTTTATCCTTTATGCATGACTTTTACATGTCATTTATTTGAGTTGACACAAACGCTGCATCTATCTGCCCCTGACCCGGCCCCGCCCGTCAAAATTTAGGACCCATTGTGGCCATGCCTGAACTAGACAGACACATAATCCTACTGAGGTGAAAATATGTCACATGTTGTTGTGTGAAATATAAATTTAATTTAAATATATATGTTATTCACCAATGAGGAGAAATATTTTGTCCAAAAAACCAGTTAAATTCACGTCCACATGTATTTATTGTTACAGTCCTTTCAGTAAAGACACGGTGACGACCTCCACTCTCACAGATGCTGCTTCACGTCCATACATCGTATTCATCAGTATGAAGCACAGAGTGGGACCGGCTGTATTCTCATTATTATTTTCATTCACACTTGGTTCACAGTACCCACTGGTTCTGTGTGGGTTTAATGTACGGAGAAGTGAAGTGGTGTTTTTACAACATGTGTGCTTGTGTGTGTGTGTGTGTGTCTCTGTGTGTGACTGCATGCAGGGGAGAGGAGTGTCCAGTCCCCGGCAGCCCCACAGCTGTTCCCTAATGGTAAATATCTGTTCCTGTGACTCCTTCCTCCGGGGGTCTGGGGGTGTGTGGGGGAGGCTAACCTCACAGTCTCTGATCAGCTCTCTCCCCTCCCCACGGGGGACCGGGGGGGCATCATCCTTCTGACCTTAGACCTCTGACACCACCCTTCCAACTCCACTTGCTTCTGTGAACGCCCTCTGAATAACAACACCTGCCCCTCTTTGACCAAACCTTTAACTTTTTACTTGAACTTCTTCTGAAGGTGACGTTACTTTCACATTCACAACAACAATTGACAACATTTCTCTAATGCCGCAGTGTTTAATATGCTGACATCACCGACCATTTACCTGGGGGTGAAGGGGGGGGGTTATAAGGCTGGGCCAAGACTTGGGTTGTAAAGTGAACCGCCTGCAATGAAGTTTTTTTTTTTTTTTTTAAACGTGCAGCCCAAGTGTTTCTCAACCCCATCATCATGGCCTATTAGCTGTGGTATCCATGATTCAGCGAGTACTTCATACCAAAGAGAAAACACACACATTTACTCCAAACTCTCGTCGTCGTGCAGTCAGCCGACCAAACTGAACAAAACCATTTACGGGAAAAAAATCTTGTATCAGTTCACTCCAGTTTGTTTTTTCTGCCGTTTGACCGAAGGTAATTTGATTCACTGAATTTGCACAGGGCAATGTAGAACGCATGAGGGGGAGGTGGGAGGACAGGGAGGGCGGGGGGGAGGCATCAAAACTGATTGCATTTTGATGATGTCACCGCTTCAGAAAAGCCCAATTTTCTGGATGGACCACAGCAAAATAAACTCATAAATTGAAGCGTGAATCGAAGCTCGATACATCAAAAAAAAAAAAAAGATTTGTGATTTAATCATAGCGTTAAGAAACTGAGGCAAGAGGTTTATGTTGTCAACGGAGTCGTCTGCTGAAGGTAAGCAGCAGAAATAAGATAAAAGAAATGGTTTGAACTACTGTGGGTTCACGGACCTTAGTTTGGTTTTATTTTTAAGTTCAGTGAACTACTTTCCTAGATTGTTTGTTGCTGAAACACAGACTTTCAAGTTGAAATTTATAAACTGAACGTCTTTAAATGTTTTCGGGTCATTTTCTTTGTCGGGCTCCTGTCTGATACTTGGCTCCAGTTCCAAGTTTGCTGCTCAGCGTTTTCATCCCCAGTGACAAACTCTCAGGGAAATGTTTTCCTTGTGTTTTTCTAGAAGAATTCCGTCATCTCACCCGTTCACATATTTTGTTTGCGGTCATCAAAAATGGCTGATGACAAGTTCCCCGAGGTTGCTTGTCAACAGATGTGAAGTAAGCCAAGACGCCGTGCTGTTATAAATCCTGTGGCTTCTGTTAAAAGATGATGTTCGCTGTCTGAGCCTGTCTGTATGAACCCTCCACGACTCAGCCTCAGCCTCAGACCAAACAGCCTGCACCTCGCGCTGTAGAATATTTACAAAAGTCTGCCCACTCTTACTGTAATTGCACATCCTAACCTGGTGCACTGTGGATGTGGCTGGTGTGTGTCCAAAACACACAAACCCACACACATACCAGAGCATGTGTCTCTCCCCCGTCTTCACAAAACCATAATGTCAGAAATATTTCTGTTGCTCTCTTAATACATGATCATTACACTTTGGTGAGATGGCTGTCTGAGTAAGCGTTTCGGAGGCATGTCCCGACACTGTCTTTTTGTCTCGTCTGCCAACTGTCTCTGCTCACACTTTGCAATTATCTGAACCCACACTGCAGTACTCCCCGCTCTGGGCTGGGACCGGAGTATTAACTGGAAGCCGTTCCTCCCAGTGCCCTTCACTCCTCCACGTTGATCCGTAATGGCCGCAGCGAGACGAATGATGTTCATGGAAACAAAATGACGTTTTTAGCAAATACTCTATAAATGTAATAAGGGTTTAATGTCAGGGAGGAAAGGAGGAGAGACAGAAGGGGAGAGAGACCGGGGGAGGGATGAGTACGACAACAAACAAAGGTCCTCAGTCTTTCACAGCGTGAATTAGGCTTTTATCAGACAACAGTTACTATGTATCTTGCGATACTTTGTTGCCGTCTGCCCTGGGGCAGTTCAAAGCTCACTTGTTAATAGTAAAATAACATGAAACACTGATTGGTGGACTGTGGAGGAAGCTTGTTTGTGGAGGAAGCTTTTTTTTTTTTTTAGAAAAGTCGGCGCCCTGTTCCTCCGGCCTGGGTGCCCAGCG